TTTGACAATAACTATTGCTAGTAAAACGTTTATTATGTTTCAAATTGATCAGGGATTTACCAACTACATCTCTTATTCTTAACGTAATTCTGATATTATCTACTACCTGCTCAGCAGTAAGGCTGTGAGGCTTCACATATAAATACCTGTGTTCAAGTTCACATAAAAAGTAGAGCAAACATTTTGAAAATAGGACTATCTACATACAAAATTAGCCTAACTCAATGTCTGCGTATAGTAATTATGCCCAATGTTCTCTTTTATTCATCTTTTTAAACTATCTTTCCCTGCCTTTACTCCCATCTCACCTTGTTAAGAGCTCTCTCTTATCTTCCTCACCTCTGATCTGACTGAGCAGGTGTTGACTACGTATGAACCCTTGCTTTTTTACTGTTTGACAGCTGGCGCTACTTGCTGAATTTGGCTCCCAGCAATTTCTGTGGGCCATTGATCTCTCCTCTGATGCAATCTTTTTCAGAAATAAAATTGAAATGACTTGTATTAATTAAAATAGCTTTAGAGGTAATGCTATAAGGCACGGGGACTAGCATGTAATAAATTTAAGACTTCAGCCTACTTTGAGATTTATATTACCTATTGCATCACTAATTTGTTATATATCCCCCATTATAATGCAATTTCCTTGTGCTTTATTCAGCTTTTAAACATAGTGATCAAAACGAGATGGAAACATGGTATAACTGAAAGCTTAAAATCAAATAGTTCAAAACTTATATATATTTATAACAGTATTTTTTCAAGAAATTAATCTTTTAGAGAGATTCAGTTTTAAAATTTGCTTCAGCTTTAAAATGTGAAAAAACAGGAATAATAATATTATGTGAGGGCTAAATAAAATAGCAAATATAAAATATCCAGCACAACGCAATGAAGGTTAATATCCACCCCTTTTACGACCCTATTTTCTCTTTCAATCCACTCTAATTTTCTTCCTTTCTTCCCCAAATTTAGCATCCGGGAACAAAATAAAGTGTCTTATGTATTAATTTATGAAATGATTTATTTATTTATGTATTTAATAATTACATAATGATATATACAAAGGCTAGCAGCTATCCTGATAAGTGTATTTTTTAACTTCACATAATGTATTTATTGCACTTAGATTTAAGTATTTTAACCTTTTATAAAAAATACTTTTAAACTAATATTAATCCTAAGATTTTCTATATTGTACTTTTAAAATACAGAAAACATATTGTCACTTTAATTAATACCTGATAGTGTCTTAATAAACATCATTTGTTCATTTATTTATTTAACAAATATTATTGAGAATTTACTATATGGCTGTAAACAAATATCTGAAATTTTAAAGAGAATTTATTCAAGTAATAATTTGGAAACCCAGACATGTAGCCCTCTATATGAACCGAGAATACATTCCAGATTAGAGAATTTTGGGCAAAGCTTATAAAAGCAAAAGTTACAAGGAGGTGATTATCAAAGGGATGGGTTGTAGGGGAAACAGGACCGTAAACTTACATCACTTGTTTTCTGATTGGTGGAGGCAACTGAACTTCCAATGGTTGCCTGACTCAGTGATTGAGCAAGTGGTATTGTAAGGGGAGAACAATTGATAATACACGATTAAACATTTATCAAGTCCTAGTTTCAGCTCAGACCTGTAGAACAAAAAGGCTGTCTTTAATCACATAGTTACAGTATGGGGAGTATTATTTATCAGCAATGCAAGGAGTACAACTTATCAAAGAGTGCAATCAGCACAGGGCGGGCGGGGGTCTGCTGCTTCTGGAGCCCAAAAGGACAAAATGATGCCTTGCAAGCAGCTTCAGAGCCCAAGCTACAAAAATCCAAATTTGGGGCCATGAAATATGATAATAAAGTTCTTATAAGTCCTCATGCCAGAGGTGAACAAAGACAATTAAATTTGCCTTCTTATGTAAAAAACTACATGAGAACTATTTAAGAGAAATAAGAAGAATGGAATAGAGTATGACTATACTGGTCAGGGAGGTCCTCCCTGAGGATGTGACTTTGAGAAACAGGGATTAGAGCCAAGGAAAGAGCAAGTATAGCAGTTCTGAGACAGGAAGACTGTTGCAATGTTTGAGGAGTGGCACAAAGAAATGTGGCTGTAGCACCCCAGAGAGGTTTCTAGAGGCCTTATCCTATTCCTCCTTATGAGCTACATTAGAAACTACAGATTTTATTGTAAGTCTGAAGGAAAATACCAAAGAAATGAGAGATAAGTTGCATAATAAAAAACTTTTCCATTTATGATTTTGCTGCTTTTATTTTGATAATTGAACCTTTAAATAAAAGTTTATCTAATCCATATATTACTTAGACAAGTTTTGCAAACAAGCAGGGAGGAAAGGAGAAGCAGCATTAAAAGTAACTTTGACAATGGCATATAGAACAAAGTTGAAAAAAGGCCCCAGGGGTCAGGAAGAGAAAGACAAGAAACAAACAGCATTTCCGATCCTTCCAAAGCCAGAGGGTTAAATCCAAGCTGAAAAAAGATTGATTTAGCAGGGGGATATTTAGGGAGGTTAATGTGTTGTGAGTTAAATGAATTTGTCCTTGTGCTATTGTGATTTCTAATAAGAAATACACATTTGATCTTAATTCCTGTTCTTAGCACTGAGCTCTGTTGGAATTTCTTAAGTGATAGGAGAAAGAAAGGAGTCTTTTGTCGTGTTAATGATGTGACTTTTGGACCTCACCTATTTTAAGGGTTGGTTACTAGGAGAACCAGCCCTGGGATTAGAGAGTTGGAATTTTCGGTCTTCTCCTGACCTCTGACCTCTGGGGCGGGGCGGTGAGAAGTTGAATAAATTGCCAATGACCAATGATTAATCAATCACACCTATGTAAAGAAGCATCCATAAAAGCCCCAAAGGACAGGGTTTGGAGAGCTTTCAGGTGGGTGAACACGGAGATGTGGAGGAGGATGGCACACTCAAGGAAGCATGAAAGCTCCCAGCCCTTGCCATATACCTTGCCCTGTGCATCTCTCGCATCTGGCTGTTCCTGAGTTATGTACTCTCATAACACACTGATAATCTAGTGAGTAAATGGGTTCCTTATTTCTGTGAACTGCTCCAGCAAATAAGTCAAACCCAAGGTGGGAGTTGTGGGAACTTTTGATTTATAGCCAGCTGGTCACAAGCAGAACCTGAACTTGGGACTGGCATCCAAAGTCCAACAAGAGGGTGGTGGAACCTTCCAATCTGTAGCCAATCGATCAGAAGTACAGTTGATAACCCGGAATTTTATTGCCACTTGAAGTTGGAAAGGGGGGGGCGGTTATCTTGTAGTACTGAGCCTTTAACCTGCAGGATACAGTGGTATCTCGGAATAGATAGTGTCAGAATTGAATTGAATAATTTTATGATGTCCTGCCCATGTTCTGACAATTGCTTGGTGTTGTGTGGTAAGTCCCCTTCCTCCTCCACTACACAGAATGTAAACCAATTCAGTTTAATAAGATTCAATTAATAGTGATTGAATATGCTTTATTTGTCAGGAAATGTGCTTGGTGTTGCTAATATCAAGATCATTAATAGTAAGACACAAACTGATCTTCATGAACTTACTGGCTACTAAGGAAGGCAAATAAGCAAATAACACATCATGGGACAATTTCAGTACTGTATTAGAGTTGGAATGCAAGTTATGGTAGAGGTACATGAACTCTGCTTGGAGTGGTCAGGAGCGGGCCACTTTCAAGTTGACCTAATTAGAGTTACCAAAGAGCTTGTAACGCTGTTCTAAAAGACCTCTGCATACTTTCACACTGGAAATTTTAGAAGTGAGGAGGTGACCTAACCCAGATCATGACTTAACTGCTTTATTGTTTTGGGAAGACAGCTCCGGTTCCTTGAAGACTGGTCCTTAATGACAACTTATTCATGTCTTGTTTTGGAGAATGAACCAGTTGAAAAGCTGTGTTTCTGATTCCAGACACTGTTGCCAAAAGTCCACTGACAAAGCAGAGCCTCTCAACTAAACCCTCACTTTCTGTAGATAAAAGGATAGAAGCTAACATACTGCCTGTATCTTGGAAACTCATTGTCCATGATTAACTTAATTCCATAAAAAGGAACGTCTCAAAGGTACATAGGTATCTCATTTGTCTGTGAAAAAATATATAGTTATAGAACGTCTATGTATTTTAGGATGTCAGAAGAAAATAGATTTAGACAATACCAATCTTCCTCATCACCAACAGTCCAATTGACTAAGCCACGTTATATAGTCTATGTTGAACTGTAGACCAAGTCCAAGAATCCCTTCTCTCCTCCCAGGCTCAAGGATGGAGAAAACTGCTATGGATTGGTTATTTTTAAGGACATTCTATCTGTTCACTGTAAAGAGAGCATTAACAGTGAAGCTCACACAACCTATTTTCTATCCTATCTTTGTATTGCTTCCTGTGGAGAAATTGTGAGAAAAGTCGCCTTTTAAGTAAAATCACATTTAGAAGCTCCAGGCCTGGCCTGAAAATTGTTTGAAGCAAAAATCTCTGGAAAAAAAGAGAAACCACTTACTATTGACTATTTTAAAAATCTAATTCCTGCAGTTTCATCTTTTAAAAAAGTTCTAGGATCACTATGAAACAAGGAAAAAGCATTATCTTGTAGATCAGCTTGACTATAAAATTTTTTCATTGGATTGGGAATATGGATGGGCAAGCCTAAAAGTAAAGGGGGAATTTATTTGCAGGTAACTGCTCTTCATGTGGGTATTTTTTTCTGAGGACATTGTAAAGAAATGTGAGTGATCAAGTCAGTACTTATATTTCTGGTTCTCTTTGTCAATTTACATTATCTGACTATCATCAATTGTCTTTATAAGAAATATCTCATTCTTTAATATGAGAAATCTCTCAAATTGTATTTTCTTTGTTTATGTCTCAGACCAAAGCACTGAAAGGAGGGAGGTTGAATGTAATAGACACATTGAAAGTGCCACTTCAGATCTGGGAATAAATATTTTCCAACAGATTTATCATGCACACTCTCAATTCCTCTAACATTGAGGTCACCACCTTCTTCCTGGTTGGAATCCCAGGACTGGAGCACCTTCATGTGTGGATCTCTATCCCCATCTGCCTCATGTACCTGGTGGCCATCCTCGGCAACTGCATCATCCTCTTTGTGATCTGGACAGAACCCTCACTCCATGCACCCACGTACTATTTCCTTTCCATGTTGGCTACTGCTGACCTGGGCCTCTCTCTCTCATCCTTTCCCACTATGCTAAGGACCTTTGTTTTTAATGCTACTGGAATTTCCCCAAATGTCTGCTTTGCTCAAGAATTCTTTATCCATGGATTCATGGATCTGGAGTCCTCAGTGCTTCTGATAATGTCTTTTGACCGCTTTTTGGCCATACGCAACCCTCTGAGATACAGCTCCATCCTCACCAATAGCAGAGTTGCTAAGTTGTGCCTGGTGTTTTTCACTAAAAGCATGCTCTTAATGCTTCCATTTCCTTTAGCTCTCAAAAGTTTGACATACTGTAAGAAGAGCCTGCTTTCTCACTCATATTGTCTCCATCAGGATGTCATGAACCTGGCTTGCTCTGACAACACACTTGACTTTTTCTATGGTTTTTTTGTTGCCCTATGTATGATGTCAGACAGTGTGCTTGTTGCTATGTCCTACGTATTCATCCTGAAGACCGTGATGGGAATTGGATCCCATAAGGAACGGCTCAAGGCCCTCAACACCTGTGTCTCACACATCTGTGCTGTGCTCATCTTCTACGTGCCCATCACTGCTTTGGCCTTTATGCACCACTTTGGCAAGCACGAGTCCCCAAGTGCCACGATCCTCATTGCTGACATTTTCTTGGTAGTGCCACCTCTGATGAACCCCATTGTATACTGTGTAAAGACACGGCAAATTCGTGAGAAAATTCTGGGAAAGTTGGGTCTAAAATAAAGGTATGGGGAAAAGTGAGGCAGAGTCAGCGAGAATTAGAGAATTAAATAATACCTTTCTATTTAAGTATTATAAATGATTCATCTTCATGTTTTTAATCATTCTTAGAAACAGCACAACATATGGACAGGGCGCTCTGATGTCTGTGAGCTTGAGACCGACATGGGCAATATTATTAAAATCATGAGTCAGTCCACTGAGACAGAATTTCAGTGACACTGTTAGCAGCACTGGGATAAATGTGCATGGAAGCTAAGACTGTGCCCCCTTATAGAGAATGAATGCTAAAGGAGCTGGAAGTTAAAGGATGCTGCCCCAGTCCAGTTACTGATTTTCTTTCAAGCAGCCTCAGACATGTTGTATTTGTTGAGGAGTCTTCAGTCAATTTAATGCAAATTCCTGATCTCCCATTTAAGTGAAAGAAGTCTGTTGTCAGAAGAGTTGGTTGAGGATTTTATCCCTTTGCACTTTCCTTAACAGTCGCATAGGAATGACCATTGGTTCTCCTTAATGTACAGTTCCCTAAGCCTTGAATTTTGACTATGAACTCTCTCTTCAATATAGCCATTTTTTCTCTATACAAAGGCCTCTAAAAAGTTATAGTTACTAAAAGGAGAGCAGAGGGACTATTTTGCTACTGGAGAGAAATAGAAAAGCTAGTAGCAGAGAAATTTTTAAGCATTGATGTTATTGATTCGCTACCTTGAAATATAGGTTCTAAAGTAATGACTCTCATGTTTGTTTGGGTACTTGGTATTCTTAATTATGATAATTCAATTACACTAAACAAGCTAAAAACCATTTTAAACTAGCAGAATATGACCATATAGTTAGCAATATGAAATCATATTCATGTACATATGGTTCCATTTTAAAAAGATAAATAGCAAACTAAACATGATTGGCTATCTAGAATTATTTTCTGTAAAATTTATTTGTTTCTTATTTATCTGTTATTTGCAAGTACTTCTTAGTAGGCAAAGATACAAAACATAAAATTTAGAATAGGTCAACCAACCCTTAAAATTTTGTACTGTGAACAGGGAGAAAACCATTGGTAATAAATTTCAATGTTTTACTGCTGAGGTGAACTCACAAGTAATTAACATCACTTCTGTTTTAAAGAATCATTTTGAAAATGTTCTCTGATGAATAAATATTCTTATATATTGTGTGTTCCCAGGTGAGTTCAACCGAGTTCTTCTCGTTCAATAGCCATGTTCAATAGCCAACCATGTCTGACACCCATGGTCTAATCCAGGAAGGGAGGGAAAACCTTTGGTGCCTCCTTCCAGGTGGTTTCCAATTATGCTATTAATTATCAGTTCACATGTCTGTCTTTCTTACTCGTGTTTTGTTTTCTCAAAAGAACTGTACACATCAAATTTGTTGGCATATCTCCAGTACTTGTACAGTGTATATAAATGACATTTTCCAACTTGTCTAGAAAAAATCATAACAGCAACAAAAAAAGTCCTTTGCTGCAGAATATGATGATAAATTACAAGCTCATAGAACAACTGAAATGACAGAAAACCTGTTGCCAAATCAGTAAGAAGTAACTGTAAATTTTAAGTCAAAAAAGCCTACCCTGAAAAACAGCTTGTGTCCTGTTTAAGTAGAAAAAAAAAGCGAAAAACTTGTCATGAAAGAAATATGGAGGAATATTTATTATCCTTTTTAAATGTGCCCTCAACTCAGAAATTGAAATCTTTAAAAGTCAGAAACAGCCCAAGTGGTAAGATCTCAATAAAAGTTATTTCTGAATCAGAATAGTGAACAGGATAAAATGTATTTGTTTCTCTCAATTACAATACAGTTTAGCGCATTTTCAATCAAGGTTCAAGTAAGATTTTATTGAGAATTTACTAAAACAATTCTAAAAATAGATTTATAAGAGTAAAGTGCAGAATATAGGACAAAAAAAGGAAAAAATTGTTTCACATAATGGTGACATTTATTAAACAGATGAAAATTGTGAGTACTTTCTTCAAAAATCAATAAGAAAAAGAAAAAACAAAATAAACGTACTACAATATACTATATGTGATATGAAAATAACATGTAGTTAAGGAATACCAGAACATTGTTGAAAATAGATTGGTTATTCAAATAATAGTAGTAGAAAAAATTACAACCTATTTTAAAAACCATATTTCTGTTTGAACTTTTATCCACACAAAAATAAGCTAAAATAAATTTAGAAATAAATACAAAAATAATTTTTAAATTTACTTAAACATATGTACATAAATTAAGTACTCTGTAGATGGTTGCCCCACCAGATCACAATTCTACTCTGTAGAATTTTCTAAGGAGATAACAAAAATGGAAAAGCAGAAAAAGTGTTGTGTGTTTTATTGAAAAGCAATTAAATACATAAATAACACTTAAATACTTATAATTTAGATGATAATAACATAGGATATGTTTAGTGCTTACCAGGTACAAGTCATTGAGCTATAAATCTGCCTGTATTAACTCTAATAACTTTTTCAAGGCTGTAGAAAGTTAGATCTTATTACCTGCCCCTGTTTTGTGGATTAAGAAGACAGAGTTTTGAAAAGTTAAGCAACATTTTTAAGGCATAAGACACAAATATAAAGCACATACAGCATCACAAACCAGCAACCTGGGTAGCTCCACCCTGGTGAACACATCCTCACATGTAACAGGCACAAACAGATCAAAACATGACTCAAGAACAACTCAGAGCCCCTGAGCCAATAAATCTAAGTGATGAAGAAATAGCCAAACTTTCAGATGCACAGTTCAAAACACTGGTGATCAGGATGCTCACAGAACTGGTTGATTTTAGTCACAAATTAGAGGAACATATGAAGGCTAAACTAATTGAAATGAAGGGAAATTCACAGGAAACCAATAGTAATGGAAATAAAACTGGGACTCAAATCAAAGGAGTGGACCAGAAAGAGGAAAAAAATGACCAAACAGAAAAGGATGAAGAAATAAGAATTCAAAAAAATGAGGAGAGGCTTAGGAACCTCCAGGACATCTTTAAACGCTCCAATATCCGAATTATAGGGGTACCAGAAGGGGAAGAGGAACAGCCACGAGTGGAACACTTATTTGAACAAATAGTAAAGGAGAATTTCCCCAATCTAGCAAAGGAAATAGACTTCCAGGAAATCCAGGAAGCTCAGAGAGTCCCAAAGAAGTTGGACCCAAGAAGAAACACACCAAGGCACATCATCATTACATTAGCCAAGATTAAAATGAAAGAGAGAATTCTAGAAGCAGCAAGTGATAAGGGGACAGTCACCTACAAAGGAGTTCCCACCAGATTTCTCAAAAGAGATCTTACAGGCAAGAAGGGGATGGAAAGAAGTATTCCAAGTCATGAAATCCAAAGACCTACATCCAAGATTGATCTATCCGGCAAAGTTTTCATTTAGAATGGAAGGACAGATAAAGTGCTTCTCAGATAAGATCAAATTCAAGCAGTTCATCATCACCAAGCCCTTGTTATATGAAATGTTAAAGGGACTTACCTAAGAAAAAGAAGATTAAAAAGCTGAACAGTGAAAGGACAGCAAACTCACAGTTACTAAGAACCACACCTAAAACAAAAACAAAGAGGACAGCTAGATCAGGAGCAGAACCATAGAAATGAAGATCACAGGGAGGGTTAGCAACAGGGGAGTGGGAAAAGGAGAAGGGAAGAGAAGGTACAAAAAATAAGTAGCATAGATGGTGGGGAGAAAATAGATAGGGAGGAGGGCAAGAATAGTGTGGGAAACATAGAATCTAAAGAACTTGAGACACGTGGTCATAAACTAAAGGGGGGAATGGTGGGGTAGGGGAGTGCAGAGTAGAGGGGAATGAAGGGGGGAAATAGAACTTTAATGGCATAATCAATAAAATATATTTTAAAAAATAAATAAATAAAGTAAAGCATTAGGAGCTTGGATTTAAATCCAGGCAATATGTTTCCAGAGCCCACAAACTCATCCATCCAATAAGCTAGAGCAACTGTCATTTTACTGCTTTCAATATTTAATTATTCATGTTCTTGGAATCTAACAAACATAATCACAGGTGTGATATTTATAAAAAATATAGAGAGCATTATTTTCTATGATAAAAGTACTCTAAACTACAGAAATGTTGAATAACAGAAAATGGTCACATAAACCTTTATATACAAATAATACTGATATTAAATACTACCCATCTATGCAACACAGCATCAACCACTAAGTCGTATTTACTAAGCACTGAAGTAGATGTTAAGGATTAAATAAAACATGAAACATAGACCTGCTATCAAGGAGCTTACAATCTGGTGGTGGGGAAAGCAAATAAACAAGTAATTAAATTCACCTAGTAAAGTATGGTAAGTTTAAGCATATGTAGAAAAGAGCACAAATAAAAGAATGACAACTTGCCAATTTTAGCAGAGAACCAGAGGAAAGCTTCCATGAGAAAGTAAAGTCTGATATAAAATACGATATAATAGAAAACAATGAATAATGTCAAGTGAATAAATAAGATATGCATTTGAATACACACTATTAGCCTAGTTTATAAATATGTATGTGTGTACATATATTGGCTTATTAAAAAAGATTAGATCATAGGTCATATAGTCTCTCATTAGTAGGATTATGAGTGATTTTTAATCTCTTTAATACTTTTCTGTTTCTCAATATATTCAAAATTTTAATGATATACAATACAAGGTGGGGCAAAAGTAGGCTTAAAGTTGAGAGAATGCAAAACACAGTTTATTCTTGCATTATTATTTATTAATCACTGTATTATTTTCCACATTAACAACTGCAAACCCACCTTTGCCCAACCCTGTATATGCATGGAGAATTATATGTGTATATGTGACATTTACAACCAGAACAATTTCTAAATATATTAAAAACATATTTGAAGTAACAACAAAGAACAAATTCATGTTCTATTAACAATTACTTAGAAAAAAATTATATTGAGCACATGCATTATATTTTGAGCCAGATGTGAAA